AACCGCATTTCGTTACCTTTTCGTTTTCGAGATATTTACCTGGAAAATTTGTTAGTTTATCTAAGGACACCCTGTATATTGTACTATAAACATTGTATTCGCACTCATTGAACGTGAGAAATCTACAGGGTGTTTGGAGCAGTCGCTGAAGCTCTTCATCCATAATTTCAATGAACATTTTAAACCTCAATTCAAAGCCAATCAATTTTTTTCATTTCCGAATGTTTCCTTGACTATTTCACTAGAATGTAGGTATTACACCGGCAATTCCACTCATGTATAAATAATCCCATTTGAAATGTCAAAAATCGTAGTCTGCTAGCGGATAAATAATAATAATAATAATAATAATAATAATAATATTTATTATCTCCAGAAAAATTACATTCCAAACAGTTAACTAAGATAAATGTGGGGAATAATAGGCCATAGTTGCAGCATCCCGCGCAAGCATGAGTGCTGTTGAGGCCCCAAAAAATTGCTTAAAATAAAATATTAAGAAAGGCTTATCTAAGATCTATGAATATGAAAATCAAGTAACGCACTTGATACTTAAACTGTAAGACGAAGAAAGAGAAGAAGGAGGTGGAAAAATAGAGAAAAGAAGGAAAGAAAAGAAAAAGAAAAAGAGGGCACATGGCAGAGAATAATATATATACTAGAGCGGAGAATAATATTAAAGCAGATAGGAATTTCATGATGTACCCAATTATTTATGTGCAGGAAATTAAGGGCGATTTATCTAGAGCAGGAAATATAATATATTATATTTTAAATTAGTTTTAATTTCATTCTTTTTTTAAAAACACCAACAGATGTAGAAAAATCAATTATTTCATATTTGTTAATGAGTGAGGCAATGGTATAGCTGAATGACTTTTTGAAGAATTCTTTATTGTGAGACGGTATTGTCAAAAGCTGTTTCCTGCGAATGTTTAAATTATGAATGTCAGTTCGATATTTGATTTTATTGTGTAGGTATGGTGGAGTTTTAAATTTTATTAATTTATAAAAGAAGCATAGTGAGTGCAGACTACGCCTGTTAAACATACTTAACCAGCCCAATTCATTCAGTTTATGTGAAACTCGGTCTCTTCGTCTTATTCCACACGCAAACCTAATGCAAGAGTTCTGAACCTTTTGGACTCTCCTAACATCTATCGAATCCAAAAAAGGCCCATATAGGTGATCGCAAAAATTAAAATGCGAGAGAATTAAAGAGTCGCAAATCAAAGTTTTAGTTCTTTGACAAAGATAGTGTCTATGAGAGTATAAACCCCTCAAAACTGAATATGCTCTTTTTAAGCAAAGTGTTATGTGTTCTTTAAATTTGAGTTTGCTATCCATGACAAGTCCCAAGTTTTTAGCCGAATTTTTAAATGATATCGTGTCTTGTCCTAGATTTAGTTCAATATTGCCTAAAAGATCATTTCTAATATTTTCATTACAAAACAGGAGAGCTACCGATTTGTTAGGATTTATTTTAAGCAAATGTTTATTTGATTCATCAAGCAACGATTTCAGATCTTCATTGATCAGCTTATTGGCTGCAGCTACTTCTGAAGGTTTGAAAGATAAATAGATTTGCGTATCGTCTGCGTATAAGTGGTATTGACAAAATTTTAATGATTTTATAAAGTTAGAGGTGAATATACTATACAGAAGAGGACCCAAAATACTACCCTGAGGCACTCCCGCAAAGACATTAAGAGATTCCGAATATTGTCCGTCAAGAGTAACTCTTTGAGATCTCTTTGAAAGGAATGAGGACACAAGTAGAGACGCCGACTTACTGAAGCCTACGTATTTTAAAATCGACAGAAGAATTTCATGGTGAAGCATATCAAATGCTTTTGTATAGTCTAATAAAATGAGCACACTAGCATTGCTGTTGTCCTGCGCCCGCACTATATCATCAGTTAAATCAGACAAAGCTGTTGAGCAGCTATAGCCCGCTCTAAAGCCGGATTGTTTGCTGGGTATTATGTTATTGTTGTTGAGGAATGTATTTATCTGAAGTTCCATAACTTTTTCAAGGATTTTTGAGAGAGTGGGTAAAATAGAAATTGATCGTAAATGACCAAACTCGGTAGGATTTTTAATTTTGGGGAGAGGAATTACATTGGCGGACTTCCAAGATTGGGGAAAGTGTGATTCACTTAGGCAGCAATTTATAATGTGTGTTATAAATGGAATTATAAATGGACAACACAAAGTAATCAGCGTTATATTGAGATTATCCGATCCTAGAGCTTTAGATTTGAGTTTAAGGAGAATTTTGGAAATCAAATATTCGCTAACTGGCTGAAAAAAAAAAGTTTCATTGACCAATAAATTATTTTTATAAAAGTTTATGAGTTCTTGGTTAGGTATATCATTGCTATTTGTTATTTGCGTAAAATACTTATTAAGTTGGTCTAAATTTGTCAGATTACTTGGTATGGTGTTACTTTTTTTATTTGTTATGATATTAAGTTTTTTAAGTTCGTTCCATTTTTCCTTTGTGCTGCAAGTTTGAAGTTTAAAATTTAGGTAAGCTTTTTTTTCAGATCTAATAGCCGATGTTGTGTAATTTCTCAATTGCTTATAATAATTCCAGTGTTCTTGGTTTTTAGTCCTTCGAAAACGGTTTAAAGCTTGATTTCTGAGTTTTTTCATGTATTTTATGTTGTCAGTTATCCATGGACAGTAGGGTCTTTTTTTTCCTCTGTAAACTTTTGAGGGTGCATGAATATCGAAAATGTGCAATATAGTGTCAGTTAAATATAATACCTTTTGATCTATAGATTCTATCTCATATAAAATATTCCAATCAGCACTTTCCAAATCTGCCTGAAATCTGATTAAGTTAATTTGATTTAAAGGTCGATATGTATAAACGATTTTTTCAGGCTCTAACATCAAAAACTGGAGACAGCAATATACAAGAAGATGATCGGATATGCCAACATCAATTACTCCTACATCCTGAATATTATCCGAGTTGTAACAAATCAAGTCGATTAGTGTTTCACTTATATTCGAAATCCTAGTTGGTTCAGAAATTAACTGATTTAAACCAAATGTTTCTAAAATATTATTAAGTTGACTTACATATCCGGAATCAATGTCTAGCATGTTTATGTTAAAGTCTCCAAAACATATAATTTTATCTGAGTTTGCAAAGAAATTTATTAAAATATCCTCAAAATAGGTAAGAAACTCTACACGGCTACCCTGAGGGGGTCTATAGAGATTTCCCACAACAATAACTTCATTATTGTACTTCAGTTTAACCCACACATGCTCAACAAACTCTCTACACTCACTTAGAACTAAAGAATAATCTAAATCATTTCTTATGTAAAGACCGACGCCTCCACCGCGCCCTAAACGATCGCGTCTTACAAAATTATAGTTTTCAACAGAAACATCCTGATCAGATATATTATTAGGATTCAACCAACTTTCAGAGATTCCAATTAAACTGTATTTATTAGTAGTGATATGATCTTTAAATAGATCAAAGTTGTTGAGTAATGATCTAACATTAAGATGTGCAAAGCTCAACATTTATACCTTAGAGATGAAGACGAAGAAGAGTGAGGACTGAAAAAGTAGTAAGAAAGGAGGGGTGAGATTAAAGCAGGAGAAAAAAAAGAAAGGAAAAAAAAAAGTTTTCTTCGATTTCAGAGAAAAAAAAAAAAATAAAAAATAGAGAGAACAAGTATCGTCACTTCGAAACGGTACTGCATTTAAATAGGAGTCATATAATTTCAATTACCAGATATTACATTATTACTTAAAGCTATATTTTACTTTTACTGAGAGTAACTTAAATATGGTTTCTACCTCTACGAATAATTATTCAAAAAAGGAATTACAATAAAAAATCCAAGCAGAATGACTGTTAATATTCTATGCTGTTTATTAAGTGTTGTTTACAAAACAAAAATGGAATTCAATTCAATTCGGAACTTTTGCTTTTTCAACATTGCAGATGTCACAGCAAAATATTTATATTATTGAATTTCAAATGCAATAAAAAAAGAAAAAACGCAGAACGAGGAAAGTGCATCAGTAGTAGAGTTAGAAAAAAATAAAAAAAATAAGAACTCATGAGAAAAAGCGGCTATAAATAAATAAATGCTTTAAACCAGGCTATGAGAGAAGAGAATGAAATAAATGGACAGTTGTTATAAATATTGTTGACAGTACCTTAATTAAAAGATTGTTAAGAAGTCATCCTCGCTGTCAACGCGCGTCACATCATTTCCTCGTTTTATGTAAATATTGCCGTTTAAACACCATGCGCATTTTGATGAAAATTTTTCCACAGCCTTTTTTAAAAGGTCGAGTTTATATTTTGTCAGATCCTCCTTTATTTGTATACCGGCATCCCGAAGATTTTTACGATTTTGTAAAACGGCCACTCGCGCGTTATCAGAATCGAAGCGAACTAAAACAGCTGACGGTTTACCGCCGGGCGTTTTTGATTTTACTCGATGGCACTTTTTTATGTCTAAATCTCGAACATTGACCTTCATTTTTTTGGTAAAAATACCTAGAATTTCCTTCCGCAAGTCCTCGTTCTCCTCTTCAGGCATGCCAAAGATCCGAATATTTAAGTTTCTGGATGCCTGTTCACAGTTGTCAAGGGCCCTAGCAAATGACAGGTTATTTTTTTTAAGATCCGAGATTTCTTGAGCCATAGAATTAATACGCTTATCCTGGTCATCCATGCGTTTCTCAAATTTCTCACTGACTATCTTGACGACAGATTCAGCAACCGTCTGGAGAAAATCCTCAGTGAAGATAGTCTTGACGATATTCTTAATTTTGTCCAAATCTCCACTTGTTAAACCCATGTTGACACTGCGCAAGTTCATACCACTAAGCACCGCGACTATATTGTTTTAGTACAATAATTCCTTTACTAAAGCAGTAAATTTACGATCTTTATCGTTATGACACGAAGGATACACTACTCAAACTTTTCACACAAGTAACAAACTTTTAAAATGCCGTTTAAGGTAAAAATTAGAAGTAAATTTGGGCAGCACCGAAGTAGACTACTATTCAGACGCCATCTTGGTTCATAGGAAGGAAGAGAAAATATAACTGGATAAAAAAATCGGATAAATTTTCTGTTGATGCAATCGTTACCGTAGTAACATCTGTCAAATAATTGTCACAAAAATTCACAAGTTCTATCATTTTAGCTTATTAAAAGTGTATTTTTGAATAAAATTAAAAATATTTTCAACATGCTGCGATTTGGGACAATTAAAGATGAATTAATAACGAAAAAGAAAATTCAATTCATGAGAACACAGAGTCTTTCTTCTTCTCTTTCTGTAGAGTCAAATTTTAAGAGGCAAAATATTTATTCTAATTGTACCTTCAATAACTGTTCATTTAAAAAGTATTTCCATGTTTTATTTTGATTATGCATTCGTGGAATTGCCGTACTAAATACCATTCGAGCTCAGATTTTGAGCAGGATATTTTTTTGCTTGCTCTCTCATACTTGCCTGACGGCTCGTGATTTTGTCAAAAATGTCATTCGCGAAATTGCCAAGCAACAAACTTTCATACCTTTCGAAATTTTTTTATCTTGTGATATTATATATGAGAATATCACTCATCAAATTAATAATAAAGTGAAAATTTATCTGTCAGAAAAATTTCCGGAAATTTTTTCAGTAGTCAGTAGTAGTATCACTCGTGCAACAAAATTTCCTGAAAAATTTGACAACCAATTTTTGAAATAAAAGCATTTGTGCATATGATCAGAAAAAATCCCTCTCCTTACGAGCTCAGGATTTTTTCAGTTGATTTCACTTATGCTTTTATAAAAAGTTGGTTGTCAAAACAAAAAATTCACAAATTTTCGGAAGTTTTTCATGCACTGTGTTTTACTGACAACTTAAAAAAAAATCCGGGAATTTATCTGGGTAGCCTGGGCGTGATTACACTGGAAGTTTTTTTGACATGACGTATAATCACGACTATTATAATATGTATGTATTTTTTAATGCAACTTAATCCCTATCGGGCTGGAAGTATTTTTTCAATCCAAATTATGGTGATAGGTTTTAAACTGTTCAACATTTTTTAATTTTATAAACCATTCGATCAAGGGAATATTTTCACTTTACTTTTATATTTTTGATTCAATAAACATTTCAAAAAGCAAGTTTTTTTTAATTAACTCTCCGCCGAGTATTTAAGTTTTTATTTTTCAATCATTATCTTTCTCATCAAATGCTAGAAACAATTTTTCTCCTAGAATAAAAGTGAATTCAAGGGAATCTATTGATTTCACTGTTTTTGCAAAAACCAAATCCTGAAGTTTATTTTGAACACCTCCCAATAAATTGCAATTTTTCTATTGTCATATTCCAATTTTTCGAATTCTGTATTTGGCGCGATTTTTTAGAGATGCGGGATATTATTCCGAAAAATGACCGGTAATGTTTAATGCGACGACGGTGTCAGTTGGACCAGTATTATCACAAGTTCATACATTCTGGTGTCATTTGCATCAAGATTAACCAGGGTGCCAATACACGAACCATTTGACAATTTTGTTTTATATGTATTAAACGGTTGAATGTATTGGCAACGCTGCAGGGGGTCAGTTTGACATCGAGCATCACAAGTTCATACATTTTGGTGCCATGTAGACACAAGCTGCATGGATGCCAATATAGCAACATGTGACACATTTAATTTTATATGGATATAAGTTTGGGTGTCAGATTGAACCTGGGTTATGTGGGTGCCATCAAATGCAAAAAATATGTATATATATATATATATATATATATATATATATATATATATATATATATATATATATATATATTTATGACCAGCTATCAAAGTGAGGACCTGACTTGTAACGTGCAAAGTGAGGACACCATCTTGTAGGCGATCAACTGACACAACGACAAATATTTTAGTATAATTTGGCCAACAGGAGACCATCGCGCATGAATATACTCATGAAAATTTGAGAACAAAAAAGTTTGAATATTTACGTATATCACTACAATCTGAGGACCAACTATTTATCTACCAAAATGAGCACTGTATAATTTATTCATCTTACGCGCAAAGTGAGGACCCCATGGCGGGAAAAACTATATACAACACTCCAAGTGAGGACCTACAATGTTGCCGGATTTCAACATGCTTTGACACGCTTTTCTATTGAAAGATAAAAAATAGCTAGTTCTTCCGTTTATTTTATTTATTAGTATCAAATTGGATGTTGTTACAAGTGCATCGTGATATAGAATTTTTGATATTCTCGCATGCGTGCTGCGTTCAGTTTCAATGTAAGTGAATCGGCAATCAATTTCAGGTACGTAGGTTTCTTATGTTGTCTTATAAATACTGAGGTCGTAATTTTTCAAATTTTACCTCAATAGGCCCATTTAACAGAGATGGTCGCTGTGCCGTGTCGTATTTTAACGGTTTTTCTTACGGTGGCGGTGATTAAACAGTGTCTCCCGCTGCTGACCACCCTTCTAAAATTTTTATTTTTGACCGATTCATTTTTTTTGTCTTATATCTACTCAAATTTGGCACTTATTAGGCTTATAATTTAAATTTCTGCGGCTGTACTGGTGTACAGGGTGTCCCAAATTCGAGGGTGGCCATTGAGATATGGGAAACTATAGGAGATACAAGGTCGGTTAAATTATGGCAAAGTTGCGTAATTTTATGACCAATAAAATGCCGTTTTGAAATTTGAAAAATTCCAAATACTTCCGAAGATATTCGGAAAAAATCGAAATTTTGCAAAATCATTTTTATTTTTTCCTGAGTCTATTTGGAGCGCAATTTTAAAATAAATGTCATTTCATCATTGTCACTTTTTCTCCTTTACAAGGTGTTGCTACCAAATTTCAGATTCGATTTTTCTTCTTTGGGTGACCATCATCAACTTTATTTTTTTAAATACGGCCTTGAATTTTTTATTCCAGATTTTAAGACCTTCTGATATCCCAAAACATATGACGTATTGCATTTATTCGAAAAATTATTTGTTTCACTTTTTAGTAATTTCCTACCAAAATTCTGTTCTTTGTCTCTCTCTAACACATTTAGTTCTTATGGAAAGTGCCAATGATACAAATTTTTCGAATAAGTGCAATACTTACGTCATTGGTTTTAGGACATCAGAAGCTCTTAAAATCTGAAATAAAAAATCCGGGTCCGTATTTTAAAAAAATAAAGTTTATGATGGCCTCCAAAGACGAAACGTCGAATCTGAAATTTGGTGGAAACATCTCGTAAAGGGGAAAAAGTGACAATGATGAAGTGATACTGATTTTAAAATTTCTCTTCAAATAGACTCGAGAAAAAAATATATTTTGCAAAATTTCGGTTTTTTCCGAATATCTTCGGAAGTATTCGGAATTTTTCAAATTTCAAAACGGTATTTTATCGGTCATAAAAATGCGCAACTTTACCATAATTTAACCGGCCTCGTATCTCTTATAGTTTCCGATATCTCAATGGCCATTCTCGAATTTTACAGGGTGTCCACATTTATAGGCTCAAATTTCAGTAAGAATTATGAGGGATTTTTTTTTAGAAAAAATCTGATAGCAAATTCTTATTTAGAATGGTCTAAAACCAAATGTACTAATTTTTTTTTCAATACGATACAGGGTGATCACAACAAGTTTTCAAAATTTATTGGGTCAAACCGCGAAAATGTCATTTTTTGAGGCCTTGAGAACGACAAAAATTGGTACAACTTAGTTTTAGAGCTTCCTCAACCAATTTTAGTAAGCTTGTCTCAAAATATGAGATTTTTTCGGTTTGATCCATTAAATTTTGAAAATTTGTTGTGATCTCCCATATCGTATTGAAACAAAAATTAGTACCTACATTTGCGTTTTAGACCATTCAAAACAAGAATTTGATATCAGATTTTTTCCTAATAAAAGTTATTGAAATTTGAGCCTATAAATGTGGACACCCTGTGCGGGTGAGTAATTTTCGTTGCTTTTACAGGGTAGAGGGAAAACGCTGATAGATAGAAAAAAAGTAATAATGGTGTCACGAGCTCGATTTTTGAGCATAGTTGACTGGCCTAAACAGAATCAGCTTAACTACATTATTTGTTTCGGTTATAGTGGGGATTTTTGATAAATAGGCCATTTCAATTATCGTTTAGCTCAGTTATTATTAAAGATATCAAAAAAGTATGTTTTTTATATAGTTTTTTAACTAGAATCCAGTGGCGGTCCTCTTTAATTTTGTTTATGTTTGTTTTCGAGATACGACCCAAACTTAATTTTTTTTTTAATGGGACACCCTATGTAATAATAACTCATTGAATGGCTCTGCGTTTGCTGATTTCAATTATATAAGGTTTAATAGGTTTATCTCTAACAGTTTCCGAGAAAAAAAAATTATATGTGTTTTAGTTATAAGAAACAATGTGTTAGAAAAGGACTTTACATAGAGGGTGTCAATTTGAAAACTTGCAACCCTATTATCTCGGAGTGGAAAAATTTTCTAAAAAATTCCTGAAGAACGTCAACTATAATTTGGAGGGGGATGAGTTTTTATGCAAAACTCACCTCCCCTCTTTCAACCCGCCAGCCCCCAGAGCCACCCCCTAGAAAATCTTAATTGGGAAGGGGGTTAAGGGATACATCATTTTGCAGGGTTTTTAATTTCATACATTTTGGTGCTAAATTTCAGTACCTAAATTCAACTGTTTTAGAAATATTGACAGTTGAAAATCGACTTTTTGCAACTTCGCAGGCTGTAAAACCTAAACTGTTAATTTTAGAGGAAAAACGAGTTTACATCCCTATCTTTGATTTTAATAAACTATCATTTGACGCCAACTTTGAACTTAATCCATGATTAAAAATTCCGGTTAAATTCAAAGTTGGTGTCAAATGATAGTTTATAAAAATCTAAGATAGGAATGTAAAATCGGTTTTCCTCTAAAATTAACCGTTTAGGTTATACAGCCTGTCAAAATTGCAAAAGAGTCAATTTTCAACTGACCCTATTTCCAAAACAGTTGAACTTAGGAATTGAAATTTGGTACCAAAATGTATGGAATAAAAAACCCTGCAAAATTATGTATCACTTGACCCCCCCTTCCCATTTAAGATTTTCTAGGGGGAGGCTCTGTGGTTGAAAGAGGGGAGATGAATTTTGCATAAAAACTCATCCCCCTTTAAATTATAGTTGACGTATTTCAGGAATTTTTCTCGAAAATTTTTCTACTCCCAGATAATAGGGGTGGAAGTTTTCAAATTAACACCCTATATATAAAAAAGGTCTCTTTCTAACTCATTGTTTCTTATGACTAAAACAGATATAGTTTTTTTTCTCGAAAACTGTTAGAGATAGACCTATCAAACTTTATATCATTGAAATTGAAATCAGCAAAAGCAGAGCTATCCAATGAGTTATTAATATATAGGGTGTATCATTAAGAAAAAATTAGTTTGGTACATATATCGAAAACAAACATTAACAAAAAAACAAAGATAAATGCCACTTGATGCTACGTAAAAAACAACGTAAAAAATATTGGAACACTTTTTTGATATCTGTAATAATAACTGAGATAAAGAGGATAATTGAAATAGCCTATTTTTCAAAAATCCATTTTATATCCGAAATAACAGGAGGCAAAATGACTGTCACTTCAAGCGTCCTCTTTTATTAGTTGAAAATAGGTCTGAAATGTCTTTTTACAAACAGAGATTTTATTTTAGAATGGATCGAAAATTGAGGATTTTACTCAATGCCACTGCACTTGACAAGCATGATAGTGATACCTTGAATCGTTTACAAATCCCTGTATATGAAAGTACCAAAGGTACATTGTTTTTTGAGAGAGCTGCTGCTCTCGCTAGGAAGAATGTTTTGGACAAGCGTAAGTTTTACATAATATTATTCCATTATCAACAATGTTTCTACAAAATAGCTCAAGATGCATTGAAAACAGATTCTTGCTTTCAATAATGTGCCAAGATACATTTTTTTTTCAGAAATGAAATTTTAGTTATTAGTGCTCTCGCAAACGTAGACACTATATTTAAGACACTATCACTTTTTTCCAGAGGGGTATGTATAATTTGCAGACAAAAAAATGAGCCGTGCCACAGACTAGACGAAACTTACTAGTACTTAAAAATTCGGGACAAGTACTACCAATCAACCTTCCTACTTGACAACGGTATTAAATCGCCTCTATCGCTCATGAAAGTGGCAAGTTAAATACTATCAATGAACCTTGCTTCGTGCGACCAGTTTCAAATCGCTTATGCAAGTGATACCTTCTTTAACGATTTGTAGATTTTTTGTGCCACAGGTTAGACAAATTTACCAGAACTTACTCTCTGTTGTTCTTGTTGTTTTATTAATTTGCACTCTTCCCTAGGCAGCCACTAAATGTCTAACCGGAAATAATTTTCGGTCTGGCCAGGATTCGAACCCGGTCCACCAGCAACGTTTCCCATGTAGTCAAGCGCGTTAACGCACACGACCACCGTTGCCTTGCCTTATGAGATGTTTATAGATATATTAATTTATTCCGTTTCTAGGTAGAGGGTCAAATAGTACAGGTACATGTCAAAATACAAAACAATATTCTATCACACAAGTTTAACTGATTTTGTTTGCTGAATTGATGAAAGAACATTGTGTTGAGTAGAAAATAAAGCATTGTATGCACCACAGGGATTTTCAGATTATAATGCCCTTCAGGCAAAATATATCCCTCGGGCTAGTTTCGCCTTCTGGGCATTATAATCTACATAATCCCCTTGGTACATAAATAGCTATTGTGCCGCAGTAGGCAAAACTCATTAAAACTTGGAAATATGATACGAATCAAGCTACTTTCTTATCACCGGTATTCAGTTTCGTCTAGCCTATGACACGATTTACTTATTTTGTCTCAAACTCAAACAGGGTAATTCCAAAATGGCGCATAAGCTCTCCACTAAGTCGTAGGTTCAGGGAACCCCAGAAAAATAGTAAAATAAATCCTCCTCAACAAATAGTGTTGCTGATATAAAGGAGTAAACTTGAGAAGTCAACTTCTTTATTTCCGAATTTCTTTAAAACTGCGTTATTCCCTATAAAGTTCCAGGTTTCTTTTATTGATCTATGACAAAAAATAGAATTAGTTGGATTTTACCTTTTAAAATTAATTTTGCAAACTGTAAAATCTCTACCTCTAAATCCAAAGAATGAATCTGGAAACATTACTTTATCTACTACGGATTTTTGCAGGTATATCAAATGTTTTACTTGTTATAAAGGTATAATCCAATATAGGTGGAAGTATTTGAGATGTTGCCAATTTTACCACTCCGTGTTCTTCTAATAGCTTTGTTAATAGTAACTTTATATTATTTTAACTATTTTTCTGGAGTTCCTTGAAGGGTCCCTTATGACGTAGTGGAGAGCTTATATGCCATTTTAGAATCACCCTGTATACCCTACCAGAGGCATCTGAAATGTTTTCATTATAGTGTTACATTTTGCGAACGCGCAGACTGTAAATGTTTCTGAAGAAAAAAAAACTTATAAAACATTCTAGCAAACTCCCAAAAACTCACAACAAAAAGATAACATATTTTATACTAAAATAATTAACCAAACATATTTTAGGCCTCCACTTATTTCGAACAACAAAAACCTCACTGTAAGATTTTTTTATTTTTAGTTCAGTAGTATCTAAAGTTGCCTTTCAGTATTTCAGCAGGAGGATTTATTAAAAAAATATGGACATGTTTCGCCTACGCCCACATTACAGATGGCTGAAGTATCTTCGACTGAAAAAGTTCATGCTACGAGGCTTCAATATTTAAAGTCAATAAATGAAGCTTCTTCCAGTAACAACAAAGATTCTATCGATGAATTCAATAAAAGTATTGACGAAGATATAATATCATCTACTATTAGAGAATCAGATTCTTGCGAAGATAACGATAGTGGCGAAGAGTATAATCCAAAGCCAGATCAAGAGTGTGATTCAGACTCAAGCAGTTCAGATCCGGAAGATATTGATCTGCATGAGCACGAGGAGACTTATTTAAGTGACTTCAATGATAAACAGGTATGTAGTGCGAGGACTCTCCAATGCAGGATATTTTCTACTGCAGGTACAGGGTATGCTCCTTTTAATTAGTGCAGCTTCCACAACCTAAAGAGAAAAAATTGAACAAAAAAAGTTACATACAATAGCTGTAAAATGTGTATCTATTATCTTTTATTAAAACGGGAAAATGACAGGTGATAACTGTCATAATGACAGACACATGCATTTTTTTAAATGTATTATATTTTTGGCCGGAATAACAGATTTTTTCTTCTGATTCCAAATATACCATATATGTTGATATTTGGTTCAGTTGTTTTTGCGCTATTCAAGTTTGAAATTGCATTAAATTAGTAAAAAAAGTCTATGTATGCCTCGCCATTAATATAAGGAACCGGGAACAGACCTAATTTAGAGCAATGTAAATGCATTTTTAAACTCAAATTACGCAAAAACAGCTGAACTAAATAACAACATATATGGTTTATTTGGAATCAGATTTGAAATAGGATTTGTTTTACTTTAGTCTTCTTATTTTTATCATAAATTTTTAGGATGGATTTTCTACAGATGCACAACATAATCTGTATAACAATGATAAAATTAACACGAGTGAAGATAAAATGGATGAAACTGCTGCAGCTTTGGACTCTCCTGTAAAAGTAATTACCAAGAAGGGTAATTTGATAGCAACAAAAAAAAAGCGCATCTGGAATAAAAGAGATCATTGTTACTTCTGTTACGAAGATGTAACCAAATTTTCTCGACATGTTGTAAGGCATCATCAAAATGAAACCAAGGTACAAGAAATACTAGCCCTAAAAAAAGGCGACAAAAGAAGAAAAAACCTTTTTAATAAGCTTAGGAATGAAGGCAATTTCATGAAAAGCACTTGTGGAGAAAATATTGTGCCTATAAGAAAGCCAGTTGGAAATATAGCACAACCAACTCAATCGACTTACCTTCCGTGCAAATACTGCAAAGGATTTTATAAAAAAGAGGCTCTCTATCGACATGTAAAAAAATGTGTTCATAATGATGGTCCTGAAACTGGAAGGACTCTTGCTCAGTCTGAAGGGCAATCTCTTCTTTCAACATATAAATTTAGTGATACACTGAGGAAAGAAGTTTTTCCCAAAATGAGAGCAGACAATGTTTCTTTTGTCGCAAAAACTGATCCTCTCATTTGTGCAGTGGCAGCAAGATATCTGAAAAGCCATAGAGATAAACAGTTTTACTTAGTCGCCTCTCGTAAAATGAGACAGCTCGCCTCCTTGTTAATTGAAATTAAAAAAAAGATTAAAGTTAAATGCTTGCTAGAAGCGCTAGATCCGACCTATTATGACCATATTGTGGCATCTACAAAGGCAATAGCTAGATTTGATTCCGAGGCGGAAACGTATGGTGCACCATCCTTGGCATCCAATATGGGAACACAACTGAAGGAATGCATTGATGTGGCTTGTAATATGTTACTCAAAAAATTTCGGACCGAAACCGAATCGATGCAGAATCTCAAAGCGTTAAAAGATCTAATTTCAAGTGAATGGCAATACGATGTGTCAACGATCGCTAATCATGATCTGAGCCAAAAAAAGTGGAATAAACCATCGCTTATACCGCTAGCAGAAGACTTGACCTTGCTTAGGTCGTATTTACTTTCTGAGGCCGAAAAATGCCGCAATGCTCTGGAAACAAATCCGAGGGATGAGAAGGCATTCAAAATCCTCCAAGAAATTTGTTACATTCAACTACTTCTCTTAAATAGGAGAAGAGCCGGCGAGTTGCAAAGAATCACTCTTCACACATACACCACTCACATAAATAATGATTATAAGTCAAGCGAATTTGATAACTGCATAAGCGAGAATGAAAAAATATTAATGAAATCTTTCAAGAGAATAGTTATTAAAGGAAAAAGAGGGCGCGGTGTCCCAGTATTGTTTACCGAGGAAATGGTTAAAAATACCGACATTTTATTGAAAAATCGAGATCAATTTATGAAACAAAACAATATTTTCCTATTTGGAAATATAAAATCATCCAGCTGCATTAGTGGTACACAAGTTATGTATAAACACGTAAGAGTTGCGGGTGTTAAAAATGCTGCTGCACTTACGTCTACTAAATTAAGGAAACATCTTGCAACCATGTCTCAAGTTATTAATCTCTCTGAACAGGATTTGGAACAACTAGCCATTTTTATGGGACATACGTCTGACATACATAAGACGTATTACAGGCTACCGAATGATGTCTATCAAATGGCTAAAGTATCTAAACTACTTCTTCTTAATGAAAGGGGAGAAGCAGCGAAGTTTAAAGGAAAGCGACTGGATGAAATAGATATAAACCTCGATCCTATTGAAGAGGAGCCATCCGAAGACGAAAATGAAGACTCGGAAGGAATGGCAGAGTATAGTTTTTCCAGCAATTCCAACGAAAAAATAAATGAACCTAGTACGAGTAACACACAGATGACAGTAAGTTAAAAAAACATACATTTGTGAATGTTTAATTTTTTATTCTTGAGAAGTGCATAAATCTATATGTTAATACTAAATAATCTACACAAAGAAAAAACAAAGAATTTAATGAAAGTAATTTGAACATTCAATACATTCTCAGTATCCCTCAATCTAATTTATCCACGTAGACGCTACTAGCTATAAAATAAAAACAAAGGTTATATTTTAATACGAAAGGATTGAAGGGCCTAAAAAATATACAAGTTCCAATCAAAATTGACTTTGATTTTTGCAATTCTTAAACTACGAACCTACAATTATAACATTGAACCTACTATGGTAACTTCGAAGCTACAATTGTAACTTTGAACCTACAATTGTAACCTCCAACCTACAATTGTAAGTTCGACCATTCGGCGTAAAGGGGCCAAAAATAAATATAGTTTAAAAAAACTAAAAAACACGCTTTTATAGTAAATTCAACTAAAAAGTGAAAAATAAATTTTTTCTACAAACGTGTTAAAAATGCAATTTTTAACACGGCCCCGAAGCATTAAAAATGTTACTTTATCGCACTAGTGCCATAAAGTCTTTATAGCACTAGTGTTAAAAGTGAAACATCAAATTTTGAGAGCGGACGTCAAAAAAAGTTTGTATTTTCGGTTATTTACATTGATATTAATGGTGAAATTTGAACAACTGAGGTAGCCCGATTGGCCGCCTCATCTATATTTTTCGAAGGATCGATGCAACCCTCTGTTTCTTCTGTATCTGACCACGACAGACTTTCAAGAAACTGACAAGACATTTCGTTACCTGTAAAATAAGGTGCTAGTTATATGGATTTTTTGACAAATGTCAAATTCAAGAATTTTATGTAGGAAAGATGCTTCCAATTTATTATTCATTTAAAAATCCAATTTGTTAGTGGTTATTGCTTTTTATTGCCGTTTGTAGAAAAAATATTGTATGATATTTGTGATAAAAGTATTTTTAAGGCACTTATGTGAATTGCAAAATTCGCTTCGCTCATTCTGCAAACTTTCACATGCGTGCCTTAAAAATGTACTTTTAACACTTATATCATAAATAACTATTAATATAAACAGAAAATATTAATGAACAAAAAATATTAGAATCATTGTGAAAAAAGCGTGGGGTGCTTTGTTCCACATTTCTCGTACATTGAGCACCCCACGCTTTTTTCACAATAATTCTAATATTTTTTGTTCATTAATATTTTCTGTTTATATTAAAAATTATTTTTCACTTTTTAGTTGAATTTACTATAAAAGCGTGTTTTTTAGTTTTTTTAAACTATATTTATTTTTCACTTTTTAGTTCGATGTATTATTTTGTTGTTCATTTTTCTATTTTGAAGAAAAAACCTTAATTCTTATTTGTGTTTTGTTTATATTTTGTGGGATTATTGAGAAGATGGGACGAATGATTGATATTGTTGACATAAAGACACAATCAAAAAATTATGGTGTGACCGGTGCGACACCTGCAGCCGGATTACAATTTCACTAGTCGACACGAGTCGAGCGTCTCATATAGGCAACAACAACGTCATTTCTAAGTCGCATCCTTCGACTTCGAGCAATTAGAATCCCCATCCTGGAGTCTGCCCGAAGTAGGTACTTTCTGAACGGCACAGAGTGCGCGCACCATTTATCATTTATGAACGGCTAGTGCGTCGCACCGCACCGGTATCACATTCACACTGAGTGTGTCATTCCTGAATTCGTCCCAGAGATTTCCAGACATTTGCAGACATTATCCAAACTTATTCAGAGCTTTCCAGAGTTTTCCAGATTCTGGAAAATGAACCCCAGGTCTTTTGTGACCTTTTCCAGAATTTTTCGGACTCTTTCAAGAATTTTCCAGGCCTTTTCCAGATGTTTCCAGAGATTTCCAGACATTTTCCAGACTTTTCCAGGCTTTATCCAGATTTATCCAGACTTGTTCCAGCTCACTTGGCTTGTTCCAGGTTCTTGTTCATACACTTCCCAAGGGTGCAAAAGTTCGCACGCATTCCTATGTACCCGTGTGATAAATATTTTCGATGTTACTTACAAACATACAAACATACAAACATACAAACATACATACATACATACAGGTGAAGCTAATATAAGCGTGTTAAAAAAATCACAAGCATGGCCGAACTTACAATTGTTGGTTCGAAGTTATAATTGTAGCTTCGAAGTTACAATTGTAGCTTCGAAGTTACAATTGTAGGTTCAGTGTTACAATTGTAGGTTCGTAGCTTAAGAATTGCAAAAATCAAAGTCGATTTTGATTGGAACTTTTAATTTTTTTGGCTCCTCTACGCCTTCGTATTTTAAAATCAATAACAAACTTTGGCTATTGTCATTTTTTACATTCGCGCACCCACATACAGGAGTTTTACTGTGACTGAAAAGAACTTCTAATACAAGAGAAAAAAATCCTCTATTATCTTTAAGACTTGTTAAAAGAAACATACGTACATTGCAAAGTTGGGAAACAATTGCAAGTTACATTTCTAAATGAAACACCCTGTATATTTCCTCCAGAACGAAAGATCTCTCCTATAATTTCAAAAATATAGAGTGTGTCAACTTTTGAAGCGGCCGTTTTTTTAAATATTTGATTTCAAAGTTTTGATAAATTTAATTGATAATAATCGAGATTACGAATTGTTCCACATATCTACTTCAATGTGAATATGCGAAATTTCAAACTCAAATAGTTTAAAACCGGCCAAATCAAATGTAGGCATGTTACCTATTTTCGAAATCATGGGAAGGGCATGTTTCGTCCTGGGGCAAATAATAAAAGAACTTGCAATTGTTTTTAATTTTGCGATGCGTGTATCTTTTTTTTATGATAGTTCTAAAAGCAAATATTAAATTTTTTTGTTCTGTCTTATAGTAACACCTGTAGAAGGGTACGCATATATTAAAAATGATCCTGTACCAGAATAATAATTAGAAACATGCATCTTGTAGTCAGAATTTTCTCGTATTCAAAATTAAACATTATTTAATTTCTCACATTCAATGTGCGAAGACATATAGGCATCTATGAATAGAAGAACTTTAATTCCAAACTCTGAAATATTTAGTAACTATGATTTTTTTTAATTTTGGAGTTATATGTACATATACTTGAGTTTCATAATAAATTTTTATTGAAAATTTTAGGCAACAGATTGTTCAGTGATGGAAAAAGCAGCAAGAGGTAAAAAGCGTATTTTGGAGCCATGGAAAGAAACTCAGAAAAAAATGGCACTTTCTTACTTCAAAGATCACTTAAAAAGAAAAATTGCTCCAAAGAAAAATGAATGTATGATGTTAAAAGAAGAGCATGCAGAAACTTTTTCGAACAAAAGTTGGGAAAAAATTAAAATTTTCATTGTAAATACTTACACAAAAATGTAACAGCTTAAGTATACTAAAAGTGTTAGAACTATATTACTTTGTTAGCTTAGAGGAGAACTTTTTTGAATTACATGATATCTATATAAACTCATGATAGGATTATACAGGGTGAGCCAATGGATTCTTTCCACCCCGATTTTTTGGACTTCAAATGAAATTCTGGAAAAACGCACGGACACGTTGGTTTTTGATTTGAGGGGGAACTATTTATCAGTTTTTTTCATCTCTGAAGTTTTCACTCACTAGCTGGTGGGAGAACAACCCCCAAATTTCAGACAGACAGACTATTGTTATTATTCCTAATGAATAATAAAGCAACCTTAATTGTAAGTATTTTTATTAAGGGAGGTAAGTATCTCTTCTACTCCTACTAAAACAATAGTCTATTTCCAAGATTTTGACAAGCTGTCATTTCGTTACCGATAAAAATAATAAGACGAAATTCTAGGGTCATAAAGAACTCGATGAGGCCTATTCAAGTTTGGGGTTTGTTCTCCCCCCAGCTAGGGGGTTAATGCTACAGGGATGAAAAAACTGGGAAATAGTTTCCCCTCAAATCAAAAATCGACGTGTCCCAGCTTTTTTCCAGATTTTCATTTCAAGTCCAAAAAATCGGGGTGGAAAGTTTCCATCGGCCCATCCTGTATAGTAGGATTATACCCATTTGTAATAACGTTATTCTTGTTTAGGTACATTTCAAACAGCGGTGGCCACAAATTTTGGAAAAAAGTTGCTTTCTGAGCATGGACAATCAGTAACCCAAAGTCAGTTTGTTGTCGACAATATGTTAATATTTTGAAAGTCGAAAAAAAAATCCGAGAAAAAAGTTTAATAGAAACAATGAGCAAAATAGTACTAAATCAACATTTGTTAATTTCTGAACTTATAATAGTATATTCTAGATCTATGCGGTAAAGTGACAGTTTTCCAGACTGAAAGAATAAATCTACGTGAGCCTCAACGAGACCGGACACTTTTTGAAGCCTGGAAAAATCACTTTACCGGCATTGTTTACAATTTATTTTTCTGCCGACGCCAGATAATTGTGGCTAATAGCATGTTGTGTACATCTCTTGATTTCTTAATGGATTCAATTGATTTACATCAAATTCAAGTTCAAACTTTCACAACGACATACGTTTTTTCTCTCCCTGGCTGACATAAATAAAAATGGGTATAATTCCGACTATACTACAGTTTGAAAAGACAATTCTTATTGGGGCTCGAAATTTTTTAAATTTTGATATTCGAGTATTAAAGTAATTAGAATAATTTGTTTATTTGAATGTTGGACTATTTTAATATGTAAATCAATTAAATATCGTCTGAATTTTTTTAAAAAGAAAAAAGATGTAAAATTAATTTCTATTTTCGGCTCGAATATTAAACTTTATACTCAAATTCGCCCAATGTGAGCTAATGGCTAAACTGAAATAATTGTAACGTCACGGCATTATATTATACAGATTAAACGAATAAAGTATGGAACAAATTCAATATAAATGAAGGCATTTTCGGAAAACGGACACGTCGATTTTTTTTTTTTCCTTAGTTTTTCTCACACCCATTTTTTTATACAGGGTGTTTCAAGAACAGCTGTATATATGTTATCAAGTTTATTTCATTAAATGGTACCCCCTGTATATTATGACATTTCTGGATTCTGCGGAAAATTCTGGAGCTATTTCATGTACAATGTCATGTAAATATGTCTAACTGTTTCGGAAATATTGACAGTTGAAAATTGACTTTTTTTGCAACTTCGGCAGGATGTGAAACCTAAACGGTTAATTTTACACCAAAACCGATTTCACATTCTCATCTTTAGCTTTTCACAAGCTATCTTCTGACACTAACTTTGAATTTAACCGGAGATTAAATTTAACCGGAATTTTTAGTCATGGATTAAATTCAAAATTAGTGTCAAATGATATTTTATGAAAAACTAAGACAAAAATGTAAAAACGGTTTTGCTGTAAAATCAACCGTTTAGGTTTTACAGCCTGTTAAAGTTGTAAAAAAGTCAATTATCAATTGTCGATATTTCCGAAACAGTTGAAAAAAAGTACCTATATCATAATGTACATGTAATATGTCTAGAATTTTCCGCAGAACTCAGAAATGTCATAATATACAGGGGGTACCATTTAAAAAAAATAAAGTTGATAAAGGTACAGCTGCACAAAATATAACTTTTTTAATATATATTATAGGGTTATTGGTATTTCGATACATTCCTTTGGAGATGTGATAGGGGGTGGGGTAAGGAGTAAATTTAACCGTGAACGTTTTCTACTGGATTACTTGCCCAATACTTGGTCTTATGTTTGTAATAAAAAATATGTGGAAATTTTAAATAAAATCTCTTGAATCGATAAGAAATTCTGATACCGTATTTTTAAAAATTATTTTTCAACAGATTTAAAATTTTCCTATGACGGAAATGTTTTCAGGCAAGTGATCTAGTAGAAAAGTTGAAAAAATGTACGATAGATTTTTTGCTAATTAATTTTGGAGTCAATTTGGTTTAAGTTTTTTAAAAAAAACAAAAACATTGAAATATCTCAAAAACTATTGAGTTTTGCATGAAGCAAGTTAAGGTTAAATTTACTCCTTACCTCATCTCCTATGACATCTCCAAAGGAACGTATCGAGTTACCAATAACCCTGTACTATAAGTTGGAAATTAGAAATTTGAATAGCTTATGAGGCAACTTTTTGAGTTTTGGCCATTTCGAGCAAATGCTGTAAAAGGTTTATGCCTAATCAAATCGGTCCTTTTAAGAGCCACATAATTTGCATTTAAAAATTAAGATTTTTTAAAAGTTGTTGGGTTATTTTTCAGCGGATTTTAAAAATGGGGAAACTAGGGAAAAAAATCTAGTTTCAAAAAATTAATACTTGGTTACATTAAAAAAATGGGATATTTTGACAAAACCTAACATCCAACTAAATCAATTTACACCAGTGGCAGCGCAGAAATTTTTTTTATTCAGTTTTTTTTTTGTTAGAAATCATTCAAAAATGGTCCTATCACATGTACATACAATGAACTGCTGATGTCAAAACTCGAAAAGTTGCCTCATTTAAGCTCCCTAAATTTCAAATTTCTAACTTATTTATTAAAAAAGCTATAGGTTGTGCCCTATTCCTTTTATCACCCGTATACCTACTATGAATTATTATTAATTTAATATACTTAATTGTAAGTCGACGTCCTATTCTAGCATATGCAAATAATAATAATAAAGAATACATAAAATCAAAATAATTGAAGTTTTCATGTTCGAATATTGAATCGAATAGCACAAGCCCTATGTTGGAAAATACTAATTCTGGCATTGAAAAAATGAACAACTTGTAGAAGTGACATAACAAAAAATTCACAAGCACGAGCATTTTTGAAACAAATGATAATTGCATTATCAAGCTACCTAGTCCAGCTTTTATTTCCATACACTACACTGTGGGCCAAATTAGGTTAGAACATAATTTGAACATTAATATTTTTTTTTTTTTGTAAATGGATTTTAATGATTTTTGGATATGATATTACTCAATATGTTGCTGTTGTTACCTTAAAATTAAGCTGATCAATTTTGGCCAGTCGGTGCATTTGAGCTCGTTGCAAAAACGAATTGCGCTACTTACAAACCCACAAATATTTTTTTTAAGAAGGACATTTATGGGAAAAAAGTCCTGAAATCCACAATATTTTATAACCAAAACCGGAGATATTGAGATTTTTTTATAGGACGTTACTTGTCGGCATTAACTAATAAATACTGGTTTATCAATATTGACAATTGTTTTATGAATGGACATTTTTTATTATTCTTTAAAACAAATTACTCAGAGGACAGTACCTACATGTTTATTATGAAATTAAATAACACTAGGAATTATAAAACAAGACAACTGTTAACTGTAAACAATAACTAACAAAGAAAGTTAATTTTTTTTTATATAAATTGATTGTGGATGAAACCCCCTTCATTATCGACTTCGGTCTGTAAGCGTATTTACTTAGTTTAAATTAAACAGCTTAATGAAATATCAAAAATTTGACAGATGTTTGATTCCAAAGTAATTTGGATTAAAGCAATGTAAAATTTCCTATTTGAATAATTAGTTGAAAAAATCATAGTGTCTCAGGTGTTGGTTTAAAATATTGATATTTTCAGGATTTGTTTTCCCATAAATGTCCTTCTAAAAAAAATAGTTTGTAAGTAGCTCAGTTCGTTTCTGCAACGAACTTAAATGCACCGATTTAATAAAATCGTCGTAAGTCCGGACCTGGCCAAAATTGGCTTAATTAATTTTAAGGTAACAACAAAAACATATTGACTAATATCATTTCCAAAAATTATGAAAATCCATAAACAGGCAAAAAAATTATTAATGGTCAAATTATGTTCCAACTTAATTTGGCTCACAGGCCTCTATTGAGTCATAACCACCTCGCTCTGGTAAGTCGAGATTCCACCCCGGCAAACACGAAAAAAATAATAGATACAAAAATTCCATGGGTATATGCAGCAAGCGAAGCGAGGACCATCCATGTTGCCATGTTGCCAACTCTGTGGTCCTCACTTGGTGCGTTGGATGATGTACTTCGCGCCTTTTACATATACATGGTTGAAATTTATACTCAATGAAAAGCGCCGACTGCGGCGATTTGTGAAACTACAGTATACGCGTTTTACCTTCTAGCTAACAAAATGGGCTCCATTTTTTTTTCAACGGAAATTGTATTTAACTTGACAATAGATGCCGTTAGTGGCGTTTGCAGGGCTAAACCAAGTGAGGACCATATATCGGGTCCTCGCTTTGTCGCGGTCCTCACTTCTTCCGCAGTTTACTTGCAGACGGGGCTCACTTCGTACCCTAGGAGAAAATATATATATATATATATATATATATATATATATATATATATATATATATATATATATATATATATATAGTTAGAGGGTAGTCTTGGCTGACTAGTTAACGAA